TTCTGGAAATATAGCAGGGTTGTTATAGCATTGGTTCTAAGGATATAGCTGGGCTGTTTGTTCCAGGAGTGGGGAAAATGAGTTTCCTGATGTTTGAACCCATGACTGTGCCGCAGGCCCTGAAGCTGACCTGTGGGTCCCTCGTCAGGAGCAGTGTTGGCACCTGGGGAGGTTTCAGCCCTTTTGAGTAGTTTGATTTCCCGTTGTCCCGGCGAGATCCTGGAATGAGTGCGGTCTTGTCCCTCCCCCCTGCGCCTCTTCCGGGGTTTTGGTTCTGGCAGGACCCCTCCAGCCCGTAGGATGAGGTTCAGGCGCCAGAGGATTTGAGGGACTAATTGAGATGCCAGGGTGCGAGGGGTGAGGCTGTACTACTGAACCTCTCGGGGTTCAGATGGACCCAGAGTGGCACCAGAAGCAGTTTGTGGGGTGTGGGCAACCTGGATCCCGGGGGAGACGAGGCGTGTCCGCAGGCTTTCATTCCAGCTCAGCTCTGAACGACCTCATTGAGCTCAATAGCGGCTTAATTGGGGACCACAGTAATAGCTGGTCCCAGCATTTGAGGGCACTGAAGAGAGCTTCTATTCAGAGCCCTAGAAAACCCCACTGGCACACCCCTGCAGCAGACCCACTCAAGATCCTGGGCTGGCACTTTAAACCAGTGAAGGTTCTTGGCTACTTGACTCTGTCGTTGGCCAGGTTGGCGCTGTAAAGGAGAAGACGATCTGAGCAGGGCCAGATCTTGGTGTGCGTAGGCCCTGGGCCCTCTCACTCCCAAATGTGCAGGAAGAGGGGTGAAAGCCACTTGAATAACGTCGATTGACATGATGCACTTCAAACTATTCGAATGCTGAACCCCGTGGGTGATGGAGCGAGTCCAGCGGCCATCACTTCGATCCTTCTAGTGTCTAGAACAGCCGCTAGAGAGCGTACGATTATTGATTGGGAGCAGCTAGAGTCGATCGCAAGCGTGTTGTTTCAGCTCGTTTTCTTTATTAGTCACTAGGGTTTCCCTCCTTCGTAGGCCCTTAACTTCTCGTAGGCCCTCTGCCCTGTGCCTGCAGTGCCTCATGGGAAATCCGGCACTGGATCTGAGTGAAGCCACCTGGTTACCCAGAGGATTAGCGCAGAAGGAAAAGAGCGTACCAGCTTGCATGGTGTGCAGTTCAGTCCAGATTGTGACAGGTTAGGACCTGTATTGCAGTGCTTGTGTTATAAATGTGGAGGAGCTGTCAATGAGTATGAAGGATATAGCCAGTCAGCAGGCAACACTTGGCACAATGATGGAGCAGGAGATGGATCTAAAGCCTTGTAACAAAGCAGAGAGAGGGAGAAAACAAACAGATCGAGCTCTACTTTTGAATGCTGTGCTCGCTGTACTGCCAGGCTCACCAGTTATTCCTACAGTCATGGTTATTCCCAAGTCAGCTCTCGTAATACATCTTGTCTGTGCAGTGGTTGGAGTTTCCATGGAGAGAGAAGCTCATCTCCCCAGTCCTCTTGAGCACCTGGAGGCGAAGAGGCCTCCTGATTGACGTTTTTACGGGATTCAGAAACATGAATCCGGTTGGCAGCTCTAACAAAAGGGTTTCTGACAGCGAGGGCATGGTGGGTAGCCTGCTGGGACACGTTCGGAGCGAATTTTGTATACAAGAGAAAACCTGCTTCTTTTTTTTTTTTTACTCATAACATGCACATCAAGCCAGGAATAAGTAACCTGGCCAAGCCCTATTGCAAAGTCCAAGGAATGTTAAAATGGGTGCGCATCTGAGTCAGGCTCCTCATGCTGTGAGCTGCGGCCCAGCCTCCGACTTTAAAAAAGGCAGTGTTTGAGGCGGCTCTGTTTTGTGCTTGGTGTTGTGTCCCAGCTTCTGCCCCGGTGTGAAGCAGCTCTTGTTTCCCCCAGGGAACTCCCAATCCAGGGCACAATCGCCATGCTCTTCCCCCTGCTTTTGTCTCCTGCCCTCGCTCCGTGATAATCCTCCCCCTTCTTGCTTGTCTAGTCATCTTTAATCCTGCACTCTCTCCCCCTCGCCCTCTGTCGATCATACCCTTACCTCCCCTTTCGTTTCCTGTCTTCCTGTCTTTCTTTATCGGTCTTTAACCAGCTCTGATCGCTCTCTCTGTGTCTTATCCCTCTCGGGCGTGTTTACGCCCTTTCTCTTTCAGCCTGGCTTATTCCATCTTTCTCTGCTCCTGCTCCAGCCTGCAGTCCTCTCCCCCTCTGTCGCCCGGCCCCTCCCCTCTCTCTGCAATGCAGTATGTGGAGCTGATACACAAATCTCTCCTCCTCCTCCCCTGCTCCCTTCCCTGCTCTCCGTGGTCTTGAGGCCAGCGGAACACGATTTGAATATTTTCCCCCTGGCCTCCAAGCTCGTTAATGGGGCGATTTGTTTTTTTGTTGCAATTTTCCTACTAGACATGTGTTTTCTCTTATTCCCCAGCGTCATGGAATCCATAATTATAGACGGCCCTGATTTATTTTTACCAGCGCGTTTTATAAGAGGCAGCCGCTCCAGAATTAGCTCACAAAAGACGCCGGTGGCTCAGCAGAAAGCAGCTTCAGATTTCTCCAGCAGGTTTTGCTCGGCTTGTTTTAATTTGGGTGACCTGCGAACAGTCCACATTTTGTCGAAAGCACATCAAGCGCAGAGATTAAATACTGGAGTCGACACTTCTTTGAGAACCAGAGAGAAAGGCCCAGTGGAAAATACTGAAGGCTGTCATTTTGGCAGCTTTTTCTGAAGGCTGCATTGACAAGCCACATCTGCATGCCACTCGGTGAAAGATAGATTCAACTAGTTCTGCTCCAAGTGAAGTGGGCATCTCCACCCACTGTGGTGGGGTAGTTCTTTTGCAACACAACACAATTCAATTCAATTCAAGGTGCTTTATTAGCATGACCGATGGGTACAATCAGTGTTGCCGAAGCAAATAAAAATAATAAAATTAACATGGAACAAGACAAAAAAGAGAAGTTTGTGCCCTTCATGTGCGTGTTGCTGCCCAGGTCTGCAGGAGTTTAGGGTGCACCATTTCTAATCTGTATTCCACAAGGGCGCCCATGAGCACCCCCCAATGCGCCCTAGGCATCAGGGGAGCCTTCGCTGAAGACGCCCCCCCCCCCCGACTCCTCGGGCAGTGTTGACGTTTCGCGTTCTGACCTTCCAAAGCGGAGTGAAGTTGCCTTGGAGGATTCGAGACTCACGTCTTGGCCGAACGTAACCTTTTTTTTGCCGTTGTTATTCTCATTTTGCGTAAAAAAAAAACCATTTCACTAGGCTACGTTTGAGTCATACGTATTCTAGGTGCAAAGTGTTGACGTGAAGCTACTATCACGTTGCCCCCAATTTGATTGACGGATATTTATTTACCTCTTGTAGCTTTTGTACATGGTAAGACGAAGAATTTGATAAGCTCTGAGGTATTTCCAAGTTTACCTTATTTACTTTGCCCGCTTTGAATCAATCCCGTTTAACGGGAATGCACAAGTTATGTCCATCGCGCGGTGACAGACAAGATAAAATGGATTTTAATAGTACAAAGACTTGAATAAACAGGCAGCGGTACCGCCAGGTTTTCTTTCTCCAGTTTACTCTGCCCGGTTTGAGTCGGGGCTGCACGACGTGCCCGCACACCGCGCGTCACGGCTTTTTTTTTGTGCAGGGACTGACGAGACGACGCTCGATTTCATCCGGCTGCGAGCGGAGGATACGGAAAAATCGTTAAGAAAAAAATCAAATGCCCGCCGCTGTGAATGTAGCCACTGGAAAAGAAGCGGCGACCACGGAAAGCATTTAGACCGTGAGCCATCACACCAGCGGGTGATGTCATGCTAGGGTGTCCTATTACTCTTTTTATGACAGTGCATCTTGAATGCTCACGCACTTGTAAGTCCATACCTGCTGGTCATCACAGGAGTAATAATAATAATTGCTTATACTTATATAGCGCTTTTTCTGGACACTCCACTCAAAGCGCTTTACAGATAATGGGGATCCCCTCCACCACCACCAGTGTGCAGCCCCACCATGATGCGACGGCAGCCATAGTGCGCCAGAACGCTCCCCACACATCAGCTATCAGTGGGGATGAGAGCAGAGTAAAGAAGCCAATTCATAAATGTAATGAGGAGTGCATGGAGGAAGGGTGTAGAGCATAGTGTGACAACTGGGACACTAGTCCTCTTCCAGGAAGTGTGGGCTGCTGGTCTGGGGGTGGTGATGGTGGTTCCTGATACTGGAATAGTCAGCAGCTTCGCTGTTAACAAGAAGATGTCCTGTTCCGAAACTGGAGGGCTTCTTTACTTTCTGGAGGGAGGAGTATTTTTCTCTCCCATGAGCCACAAAGTCATCCTTTGTGGAATTGAGAGAAAAAAAAAACACATTTCTCTTGTGAGTCCTATTTAGACTCCCCACACTGGGCATGGCTGAGTACCTTAACCCTCCACTGACGATTGGGAAGCAATGGACTTCTGTCTGTCCTGTTCCGGGTGCTGTGCTTATGAGCTGCTGGGCCGTTAACGGGCTGTTTCTCCGTTCAGGTGGGAAGAGGAATACACAGTGAGAATGGAGATGCAGGAGAGAGTCAATGAGCTACAGGAGGTAATTTCTTTTTTGCTCCAGTATTTGGTTATGGTTTTGTTACTCTGTTAGCTAAACAAAAGTATCCCTATATGGGAAGTAAATATGCAGCAGCCACCTTTTACACCAAATAACTTGGTTGTACCCGTGTTATTTGGTGCAAGAGTGGGATTTGTTGTATATAGATGTATATACAACCCTTGTTGATTTAGTGACCATACAGGGGAGATTAAACCAGATTGAAAACTGTCCAAAACACATGCATTTCTCTTCTTGTTTTTCAGGGTCATCTTGTACTTCCTTTGCACATGATTTCAAATATTATGTAGACCTTCGATCGTGCAATAGGAAAATAACTTTCAGACATCTTGAATGTAATGTAATGACAGCTGCCTAATTTCTTAACCACTTGATGAAGTGTAATCTTTTAGTTCCCAAATAGCCTCTTTTTTTGTGTGTGTGTGCTCCCTTTGATTTTTGGCAAATAAGAGGGTCTTGCTGTTATCATGCATAGTTTGTGTGGGACCTATACATAACCTGGTTTGGATTTTCTTCTACCTTTGCCTTTTTGCTGCAATGCCAGTTCTGTGATGTTAGCAGAGAGAATGGTTGGTGATGTTATTATGGCCCGATGCTTGTGTGCTGGTGTCATTAGTGCAGTGGTGGTGTCATTATGGTATGATAATAGTATTGTAGTGTGATGCTGTTGAGATCTACACTTGCTGTCCTGCTGTAGTACACATGACTCGGTGTTACAGTCTGCATGACAGTGTGTCTTACAGAACAGTTACTGTTGGCTTTATCCTACCATGGTTACTGTGCATTAGAGTTGGGAAGGGAAGGTTAATCCAGTGTTCTGATTGCAGAATTCCTGTTTATTGTTGCGTTTATAGCCTTGAGACCGATATTACTAAGTTGTTAGTTGTTTCAAAGATTTTATCCCTGCCTTATTAATACATACTGTAATTTTTTTTAGTTCAAAGGTGTTATATTCCTTTGTTTTTGTGTTATTGTATTGTTTATGGCCATGTTGTTCAGTGTGCATCACAATGTGTAGAGCCGTCAGGTCCATTCCCGTGTCACAGTGTGATTGGCGTGTTGTCCCGTGTTTTGGGTCTGTTCCCGTGTCACAGCTTGATTGGCGTGTTGTCCCTTGTTTTGGGTCTGTTCCCGTGTCACAGTGTGATTGGCGTGTTGTCCCGTGTTTTGGGTCTGTTCCCGTGTCACAGTGTGATTGGCGTGTTGTCCTGTGTTGTCGTGTTAATTGGCGTGTTTCCTGTGTTTTACCTGTACTGCTGCAGGACCTCCAGGAGAGCGAGGCGTGTCAGGACGAGCTGGCCCTCCGTGTTCAGCAGCTGAAGGCTGAGCTGGTCGTCTTCAAGGGGCTGATGAGCAACGTGAGACACCTTTCTCCACTCTCGTCTGCCTCTCTGTGTTTCGCACGCTGTATCTGTCTCTCTGAAGTCCTTTATGGGCCTGGCGGCCTATAGCTGCCAATGGAATTGCACCTACGTAGGACATTCAGCTCTACATTCCATGCAAACATCATGAATGTTTTTTGTAGCACGCAAGTTCAATTAAAAAAAAATGTAATGCAGAATGTCAGACGTTTAAAAAGTAGTTAAGGGAAGCCTGAAAAGGAATCACTCTGGTGGAGAAGAAATGGTGGAAATACACACTTGTGGTTCGTGAATTCATGCTCAGGATCGGCACCAACGTGAAGTGAGAATCCAGTTACTTTTAGGCACCACCTTCACTTTGAGATGTTACGTCATATTTCCGGTGTACCAGAGGGGCATGCTTACGAGTTGTGAAATTGGGGCGGCTGGGATCAAGAGCTGTCCTGCTGCCGGTTAGTGCTGTGAGTCGCAGGGTGAGCTGGTCGAGGGTCTCTTCCCTGGGCTGAGCGCTTGTTCGGTGGTCCAGGTTTTGAAAAGGAGAGCCCCAACTCATTCCCACGCTCTTGTTGAAAGCCGTGCCCCGTTTTGGAGCCCCCTTCAATCTGTGCTTGTTTTCTGCCTGCGTGTATCCTAATGCACAGACAGCTTGTGGTTGTCTTTGTGCCACGTGGAACTGGAAACGTCTGAGAAACGGTGGACGAAGCTTGCAGCGTGTCTGCCTTTGGCTTGGCGGTTTTGGGTGGGTACATTTGTCTTCTTGGGCGTGTCGGATGCGATCGGACATGTGCGGCACCCGGAAGGAATGCCAGTATCCAGGTGCCGCGGGATAATTTTCCGCCTGCTTGGATGGGATATCCTGCTAGTTCCAGGGTTCGAACCTGAAACGGATCTCGGGGAGAATGATCGCGCAAGACCAAGAATGGTCATCTTGTTTCAGTCTCTTGTCTGCCACAGTCTTGAGTCTTGACGATCGCTCAGACCAGACACAGGAGTGATCTGCCTATGTACGTCTCTCTCTCGTTTCCCTGTCCCTCTGGGTCTCTGGCCCCGGAGGGGTGTTTTCTTGTATCGCTCGACTTCTATTTTCTCCCTATGCGCAGTGCTAGCCTTTTGCGACTGTCCCGTCACTGTCTCTGTACTGCTTTAATCCCTCTCCCCTTGCCCCTCCCCTCCCCTCTGTGTGTGTGTGTGTCTCTGCAGAATCTCTCGGAGTTGGACAGCAAGATCCAGGAGAAAGCCATGAAGGTGGACATGGACATCTGCCGGCGGATCGACATCACGGCCCGGCTGTGCGACGTCGCCCAGCAGAGGAACTGCGAGGACATGATCAAGATCTTCCAGGTGCGGATTGTGTGCCTGTCTCTGGGGCTTCGCTGGTAAGCCCATCAGCAGCCCTGCGTGACCTAGAGGGAGTCTGAACAGATGCGAATTCACTCAAAACCAAGCGTGCAACATCCCAGAGTTGGAAAGAGTAATCGGCAATGTTGCTACTGCCCCTAGTGGCTTGCAGGGGGAAAATTGATTTCTTTTAATCATGTTCTTAGCAGTTTATAAGAATTGTCGTTACATTTTGTCCTCTCCCTGTCTCTCTTCCCGCCACAGGTCTCCACCCCCCCATCGACTGTTAACCGCCGCCCCAGAAGGCAGGCCCCCGCCCCCACCACCGCCGAGATGGACGAACCAGTCAGCTTATCCGAGAGCGAGGTGGGCGGGGCCAAGGACGATGAGTACGGCACCTCCTCGGCCAATCAGATCAACGAGGAAATGCAGCGGATGCTGAACCAGCTGTGAGTTTGCTGGATTGGTCAAAACAAGAAACCTACGTGTCCCAGGAAGCCCAGCCTTCGATTGGGACCTGAAGCTGGGAATTGTGGGTTATGTAGTTTCCGGTCAACATGTAGACTTTCTGAGCACCTTACATAACATTTAGCTGTAGACATAGGAGCAAATCAGTGCATCCATGTCCTATGGGCAAGAATACTCCAGTCCCTCACTTGAGAGTCTTTGACAAATGGCTGTGCCCTTTGTGGTGCAGTCTCTGCCTCTAAAGGAGGGAGTTTGTAGTCAGGATGGCTGTGACAGTGTGTGTATTGACCCATCACTCTCTCTCGCTCTCACTGTGAAGGAGGGAGTGTGAGTTCGAGGATGACTGCGACAGCCTGGCCTGGGAAGAGACCGAGGAGACCCTCCTGCTGTGGGAAGATTTCCCTGGTTACACCCTGGGGACCGAGACACAGGGGGAGGTACTGCCCATCTGAGGGTCCACCTGCCTGCATGTCCACCTGTCACCCCAGCTGCCCGTCTCCGGCTGCGCCTGAGCGATACTGATTTTCAGTCCCTCAGTCTGCGTCCAGTGATCCTGTAAAGTCTGCAGTGTGTGACTCTCCCTGCATCTCTCAGCAGGAGGAGTGTCTGGAAAAGGTGATTAAGGACACGGAGTCTCTCTTCAAGTCCAGAGAGAGGGAGTATCAGGAGACCATTGACCAGATAGAGGTGAGATACGCTCTGGGACCACTGGGCGCTGCAGTCTGTTAACGCTGGTGGCATTTTCCTGCTTACACACGCGTAAAAGTGATATGGAAGGGTTGGGGGGGGGGTGTACTGCAGAAAACTACATTGCCCACAGTGCTGATTGCGCCAGGTGTTCATGGGAAGTGTAGTCCTTATCCCTCTCGGCTCTCTGTCTCTCCCAGCTGGAGTTGGCCAATGCCAAGAGCGACATGAACAGACACCTGCATGAGTACATGGAGATGTGCAGCATGAAGAGAGGCCTGGATGTCCAGATGGAGACCTGCCGTCGGCTCATCACGCAGTCTGGGGACAGGTGAGCGTGCTGGCTGTCAGTGTGGACAAGCGTACCCTTCTGTCTGTAAACATACTGGTGGAGAATGTTGGCTGAATTTTTTTGCGTTTGCAGATAATGGGCACCAGAGAGATGACGTTTTTTTCAGCCCTTCGCAGTGTGCTGTTGTATGCACTACCTCGGCTGCTCAGACTATTAATCCCCCTCCTCCCTTCTCTCTCCGTTTCTCAGAAAGTCTCCCTCCCTTGTGTCCGTGGCCAGTGAGGAGAGCGAGGACTCGGAGAGAGAGAAGAGGAGAGCCCCCCCCCCTGGAGATGGGAGCCTATAGGGGCTGTTATGCCCAAAACTCATCTCATTAGCCATAATTAAAAGTTCATCTCGATAGGAGAGGAGAATGTGATGTGTGTCTAAAGAGACCAAGTGTTACACTAAGCTGTCTGTGTATAGAGAAATTAATACAGACCCTAACATAGACCCTAGAGATACACCTAACAGATTAACACAGACTTTAACATAGACCCTAGAGAGACACCTTATGTAGAGATTAACACAAATCCAGGCAGACTTGAAGCAGTGATTAACAAAGACTCAAGACACACATAGGAATAATTATATATCTTTGTGGGTATAACTGATCATGGCTTCTCAAAGAATCTGTACATACAATTCTTAAAGGAACAAAATCTAGCTTGTCCAAAAAATCAGTTTTGATTGAACATTTCAGAACTGGGTGAGCTATAATGCAGTAGAATGTGGGAGGACAGTTTGTCAATGCATTTGCTTCCACTTGTACATTGTAAATATTATCTACAGGCCTTTCTGTCCTTTGGCATTAAGGCACTAGCTTATATTCCTCTGCTCTGTTCTGTGTTCTCTCTCACTGTATTACTCCATCTCTGTGTCTGTGATCACCTGTTAAACACACTATCAGGACAGGAGACAGTGTGAGAAAGGAGATCACAGATAATCCCTCAGTAATAAACACACACAGCAGGACAGGAGACACCATGAGAGGAGAGGACATCCTTCATAAGTAAACCCACACAGCAGGACAGGAGACACAGTGAGAGGAGAGGAGATCACAGAGAATCCTTCAGTAGTAAACCCACACAACTGGACAGGAGACACAGTGAGAGGAGAGGAGATCACAGAGAATCTTTCAGTAATAAACACACACAACGAGACAGGAGACACAGGAAGTGAAGATAACAGAATCCCCAAGCAATAAACAAGACAGAACAGCAAAGGCAATGAGTGTAGTAATTTAAACTTGGTCTAATTGGTTAATCTGCATTTTGTAAAACATACCTCAATCATAGAGAGATTAACGCAAATGTTGATAACTTTACAATACCTGAAAAAAAGCTGTGGTTACTATATCCAGTCAATTCTGGCGTAATCCTATGGTTTTACCTTTATGTTTGAACCATTTAAAGATGGTTTAAGATGTACCTTATTGGTACAGCCTTGTATCTAAATTAGCTGGGGCCTGTTTGCAGATCATGCAGGGCCCCACGCAGATGCTCACAGAGAATGTGAGCATATGAACTTTCGGGGTGGGGAGCAGTTGTAGAAAAGTGGTCAATGTCGCTGTGCATGGATGGCTTATTTTGGTTTGGCAGCACAGTTAGTAGGTGCTGCGATCTCCTTCAACACGATTTCCAGACTTCTGTCATTTAGGTGTTCTCTGTAACGCTGCTCACAGGCTTTTATAAGATAATGTGGTGCTGCTATCTACTAATACCCAGTTCGCAGGCTTTTAGAATGGAATATGGTGTAGGGGTACTATTTAAATGTTGTTTAAAGGCTTTTAGAGATCTGGTGTATTTCTGTGCAAAGATCAAGATGTTTTTGTTTGCAGTCGCTGCCACCTCGTGGGCATTCCTGGCATTGCATGTGCATTTAAAATGGAGCACAGATGGGAGACTCCCGAGTGGAGTCTCCCATCGGTGCTTTGGTAAAGAAAATCAGTTTGGGGGTTGAAGGAGACAGTCGATCTCTCCCGTGGTCCGCTGCAAGTACATCCCGATGATTGTCTGACCATGGCAATACTTGAATTTTTTTTTTTAACAATGTGTATATGTGTATAAATATGTATAAATATTTCTCTCCCTATGTAATGTAAAGTAACGGGTACAGGGAGAGAGAGAGCTCCGTAGCTTATTTACAAGCTTCCAAAAGGAACTGGCGTTTCTTTGTGAAAGTGTGAGGCTCGGATATTATCACAACGCTACGACGGACAGACCGACAGGCTAGGGAGACGGTGAAGGGACTTTGTCAGGATGAAGTGCGAGGAGTTGGACAGGCCAGTCCGCGTGAGGAATCCGGGCTGGGAGGGATGGACCGACGGCCGTATCCAGAGGGCGAGAGGCTGGCACGGAGGAGGCAGACGGCGAGGAGACTGCTGGACGCTACCGATAAAGGCCGAGACGCTGATGGGGGAGGAATAGAGACTGAGGGGGCAGGCACGGCCAGCGTGGGGGAGGGAAGGAGCCAGACGCTGACAGAGACACAGATTCCAACACGGAGCTGGACTGGCAAGGCCGATGAACTACATTTAGCGAAACGCGTACAACGAAAAAATAGTGCTCGTTTTACGACGTCGGGGCCAGATTTTGGGGTGCGTAGGCCCTGGGCACTTTCACTCCGCAGTGTGCAAAACGAGGGGTGAAAGCCACTTGAATGACGTCGATTGACATGATGCAGTTCAAACTATTCGAATGCTAAACCACGTGATATTTCTAGTTCCTAGAACAGCCACTCGATGGCGGACGATTATTGATGTGGAGCAGCTCGAGTCGATCGCAGGCGTGTTGTTTCAGCTCGTTTTTCATTAGTCACTAGTGTTTCCCTCCTTCGTAGGCCCTAAATATTTCATAGGCCCTACGCACTTTGCCAACACTGTGCCTGCAGTGCCTCATGGGAAATCCGGCACTGTACATCGTAAACCGAATGACTAATATTCGAGAGGCCCGCGGTCTGTGTCTCAGGTTGTGACAGGAGACCACACAGTGGGCTGTAGCTCCACTGAGTTTCCTCCCCCAGTAAGATTAGAAGCTGTTCTGATTCGGGAAGATGTGGCAATTCTGGGATCGGATCTGTGATGTTAGGGAAAAAATTGTTTTTTTTTCTAATCCAGGATTCCATCTGCTTCTCCCGGGCAGAGAGAAAAGTCAGACAAGCTGAGGGAGTGAGAATGAGACTGACAGATTGACAAAGACTGACAGTGACTGACAGCGAGACGGTCTTCTTATTCAATAAGAGACAATGGACTCGTCTAGGACATTATATATAAACATCTTGCTTTAAAAAAAAAAAGCTTAATGCTCATATTTTTCAAAGCTATGCTTGTACAGAATGCTGTTTGAGAAACTGCACAAAACAATATGTAGGTTTATGATAAAACAGTATTAATCCTCATAGCCGCGTATGATAGTTACAGTTATGTAGAAACTGAGTAGATAAGTTTGTGATTCAGAGAATGAGAGAGATTCTCATAAGGATATTAAGCCATTGAACATGTCTGGTCTGTTTACCATAGGAGTCTTCAGCCTGTGTCCCAGAGAGCCCTAATCTTCCAGCTCCAGGTGTCACAAGGTTCTACAGATTTCCAGATCTGTCAGAGTGGTAACTTGAACAGTTAAGGGAACTGTGGTGTTTGGTGTGAAGATCTTGGGAAACCAGGGTATCCGCTTCATGCAGTGTGTTTGGGTGACCTGCTCCATACTCCCACCACTCTTTGTGTAAATCTGTATCTCCAAGAAGTCTAGCCCCCTGGCCCCTTGAGCAAACATACAGGCTTCAGAGCTGCGTGGCGTTTGTTGTTCCAAATGATCGCTGGCTTTGCTGATGAGGAACAGTTTGAAGTCGCTTAAGACGGGCGATTTAGCAGTCAGCTATGGAACAGTCTGCTAGCTCGGGGCTCTCTCGTACAGCAGCTGGGGATGTTTGGGGAAGTTAACGGCTTTGGATTGCTGCTCCGTGGCGTGTAAGTTTGTGAAAGGACGCCCGTGCGCCTGCCTCAGAAGGTACGGGCTCGGGCTGATTGGGTCTTCATCGCTCTGACAGTGCCACGCAGGTGCCGCAGGTACGACCGGCACTTCTGAGCAGCAGGGGATCTCTCCTCTGCTGCCGCATGCTGGATCACAGCAGTTCCCTAAAAGCATGCCTCCGTGGATGGAGCCCCGCAGCTCAAGATGCAGAGCTGGCTTTTTGATTGTTAAAAGATGGGGTGAGGAGTGTGGAGCAGGAGGGTGGGGCAGTCCTGGTCCTGGAGGGAGATTGTGTCTGCGGGTGGTCCTCGAAACTCGGCGGTTATGCTCGGAGTTGGCTGGTTGTGGGCTTAACTGGCTCCTCCAATTTAAGGACCCCTCCAAGCTCTCTCTCTCCACTGCTGGAGCGTGGAGCTTGGAGAGCCCCCTCCAGGACCGGGCACGGCACAGCCCGGGAGGAACTTTTGGCTGCTACCATACAGCGCGGGTCCTTCGACCGCGTGTTAACTGGAACCAAAAAAAAGGGTTTTCCTGGGTTTTCTTCTTTTTTAAAAAAAAATTTCAGGCACCGAAATGCACCCGCCGAGAACGTCTGTACTGTTCTTTGAAGTGTATGACAATGGATAGCTGAACGGCCGGCTTTATAAAAAACCAAAACATTAAACATTACTGTAAGAATTATAGTGTGTGACTTAATTTCTTAGCAGTGAGGCCTCGTTCTGGTGTAATATTCACAGAAATGACCAATATCTGCGGCAGGCGAATATTTATTATCCTGGGCCTCACATACAGTTGAATGCAGCAACCTACCTCTGTACTGTAAGGACTACCTGTGCCATTGAATATATATTGGGTTCCACACCTGATCTAAATCAAACTGAGGTTTGCCTCTCAGCATTGCCTCTTCCAGCACATTACCCAGCATTACCAGCGCTGATACTGGGCAGCAGGGTGGAGCACTTTATTGGGGTTCAGCATTTGTAACTGGAAGGTTGCGGGTTCAAATCCCAGGTGACAGGCAACGTTTGTACCCTTGGGTGAGGTACTTCAGCCAAATCCCTCCAGTAAAATACCCGGCTGCTAGAATTGGGTACAGATGACAAGTTGCGTTGCTGGGCTTTAGACCAGAGACGTGGGTCACGGGATTCGCATCGCCAGCTTCCTGCACGTTTTCAAGCAGGGATCCTCAGTCCTGTTCATGGGGGGGGGCCAGAGTGTTTGCAGGTGGGCTTGTAACAACCAGAATCGGCCCATGCCAGACCGTTCCCTGGGCTTCAAGAGCTGGTGCTTTAAGGAGACCCTAGAAAATCTGCATGTGGACACAACTGACCCTCCAGCATGAGCATTCCCCAAAGCTAACCAGGCTTAAGGGGGGGGGGGGGGTTGAATTGACCAGAGTACCCCCCATCAACCTGGTTGGACAAGAGCGACCCGCCGGACCCCTTCAGCCTTGCCTTAGTGGCATCTCAGGATGTCACATTCCCAACAATCGGGATAGGTGATCCTATCCGGATAAACAATGGGTGATTCCAAAATGACTGCATCATAATGGGGAAAATACCACCAAATTCAGATCTATAACAACAGAGTTAGATCTCTGTGCTGGGCTTTTTCGGTGATCCACAGGGGTTGCTTTCCACTGATTTAGAATAACTGGCTCTCGATTGCAAGCAGTTGTCATGGCTAATGAGTGAAACGGGTATTTAGACCAAATTTAGACTTGCATTTGATTAAAGAAACATGATTGAAGGACGCAACCGTGCTCCGCTCAGGTGATGGAGATCACCAGGTTGTACCACTGTGATTGAAGGCAGTCTGTCTGTGGGAGAAGTGAGCTGGAGAATGAGATGACTTCAATGACCAACCGATCAACCTAGAGCAGCTGGGGAAACTGGCACTTCTTTCCCCTTGAAGAAATCCATTTTCTTCAAGGCGTGAGGGGGGGTCACCATATCGTCCCGGGATCTCCATAAAACAATTTTGGCCAAAAGAAAGAAACAACCTGCACGTCAGCAAATGAAGATGCTCTGCATGGCCAATGGTGTTTGCTGAGCTAGATTAGCAACCACCTTCCATGGGCCAGCTCATGGCTGGGATGGAGTCTTTGATTCCCCTGGTAGATGCCCACTTTGCTTCATGCCAGACCTGTGGACTGTTTTTGGGGTTCGAGCCATGGAAGTGTGTGAATCGCTTGGAGGTGGGGGAAACCTCCTTTAACACAAGAGCGCCTTTGGTGCAGCCCAAGGGGGGCAACCTGACCACATGGTAATAATTTAGCAGTCTCCTTGAGCCAACAGTTCCTCCACCCCCTTCCTGTTGGCCAATCAGGGTGTTGCTTTTCGAGTGGGACAATGCGAGACCCCTGAAGTGTTTGTGGCTGACCTGAGTTCAGAACATCTGTGGAATCGGTTTGCCAAGAGACAACTGCACCTGTGCAGCCCGAGCCAGCAGGCCAGCAGCCATATCAACCCTGCTGATCACCACTGGCAGCCCACTGAAGCCCAGCAGGTGTGAACCTCCTGGGAAAAGCTAAGGTTGCTGCTGGAAGAGGTGTTAGTGGGGCCAGCAGGGGGCGCTCACAATGTGGTCCATGTGGGTCCTAATGCCCCAGTATAGTGACGGGGACACTATACTGTAAACAGGCGCCGTCCTTCAGATGAGGTGTAAAACTGAGGTCCTGAGTCTCTGTGGTCATTAAAAATCCCAGGGTGTTTCTCGGAAAGACTAGGGGTGTTGCCCCAGTGTCCTGGCCAAATTTCCCCCTGGTCTTTACCAGTCATGGCCTCCTAATAATCCCCATCTCTGAACTGGCTTCATCACTCTGCTCTCCTCCCCACTGAGCTGATGTGTGGGGAGCGTTCTGGCGCACTATGGCTGCCGTCACATCATCCAGGTGGGGCTGCACACTGGTGGTGGTGGAGGGGATCCCCATTACCTGTAAAGCGCTTTGAGTGGAGTGTCCAGAAAAGCGCTACATAAATGTAAGGAATTATTATTATTAATTATTATCTGTACAGGAAGAGTGTTGTTGCCTCCTACAGCAGTGTCCCCAGGGGCTCGGTGGGTCTGTGTGTCAGCTCTGCGGGGAATGTGCTAGTGCTTGGGGAGAGCGTACCCTGTATTGACTTTCATGGGGGGGTTAATGACAATGTGCCATGTTTCATTACAGAAACTTGGCTGATCGGACTGTTTTTTTCCACAACCTCTGCGGTTTTGGTTTGTGGCTGTTCTCAATGTTGGGGTTAAATCCCTCAGATGTGGGTGCCGATTTGTTTGCATTTGATTAAAGAAACATGATTGAAGGACGCAACCGTGCTCCGCTCAGGTGATAGAGATCACCAGGTTTACGCCCGTCAGTGAATGATTTTGAGCTCCCCTAGATTCGTAGACACAAATACACAGAACATGCTACAGATCTTCCACACGGGGTGCGATGTCGATACAGGGGTCTGCACTTGTGTAAACCTTTGAGCTGTTGTAGGAATCTGATTTGCTGGAGAGAGGGCAAGACTGCTGTGCAATGGGAGTCTGATTAATGCCACAGGCAAACCTGGACTGGATCAGGCTGCTATGCAACAGGGATCTACACTAAACGACAAGACTGTAAAAGCCTGGAGCTGCTCAGACTGCCTGCTGCGGGGCTCATATGTGAACTCAAGGGGAAACGAGCAGCTACATTCTTCAGAAGACCCGAGAACAACAGGAAGTGAGTCACTCTGTTTTTGTGTTGGAATTGTTTTTAATTCTGTGCTCTGTGTGAGAGGCCAGAGACGGGTATCTTTTGAGGCTGGGGCAGGTAGAGAGAAAAGGAGATCTCATTCCTTGATCACCTGTCCGATTGCTCTTCTTGTGATCGGCCAACAAGTCATTGCTCATGCCCGCTGCCACATCAGTTTCTTCCCGCTGGCAGTGTTTACTGCCAGTAATCTTCCTGTGTCACCCCCAACAGCTGACAGGTTTTTCTGATTCGCCGGGGGTGAGCATTCATCATTTTGTTTCTGTGTGCGGGGGTCAAAACATCGCACGAGACGATGTCGAAATTCAGGCACTGTTGAACACGTTCTTAAACACCCTGTGTCAACCCAATGAAATAAGGGAGGGATAGGGAGGATCGGGAGGGATAGGGGAGAGAGAGGGAGACTGGGTTGGGTGAGACACCAGGCAGGGACGGAGAAAGACATGCTAGGGGAGAGAGACTGGGTAGGGTGAGACACCAGGCAGGGACAGAGAAAGACATG